TAATAAAGTGATAGGGAATAGCCAGCATGGGTTTGTGAAGAACAAGTCATGCCAAACTAATCTGATAGCGTTCTTTGATAGGATAACGAGCCTTGTGGATAAGGGAGAAGCAGTGGATGTCATATACCTAGACTTTAGTAAGGCATTTGATACGGTCTTGCACGATATTCTTATTGATAAACTAGGCAAATATAACTTAGATAGGGCCACGATAAAGTGGGTGCATAATTGGCTGGATAACCGTAGTCAGAGAGTTGTTGTTAACGGTGCTAAATCCTGCTGGAAAGGGATAACAAGTGGAGTTCCGCAAGGGTCTGTTTTGGGACCCGTACTGTTCAATATCTTCATCAATGATGTAGATATTGGGATAGAGAGTACGCTTATTAAGTTTGCAGATGATACCAAACTGGGAGGGGTTGCAACTTCTTTGGAGGATAGGGACATAATTCAAAATGACCGTAGCAAGTTAGAGAAATGGTCAGAGGTAAACAGGATGAAGTTTAATAAAGAGAAATGCAAAGTGCTCCACTTAGGAAGGAACAATCAGTTCCATACATACAAGATGGGAAGCGACTGTCTAGGAAGGAGCATGGCGGAAAGGGATCTAGGGGTCATAATGGACCACAAGTTGAATATGAGTCAACAGTGTGATGCTGTTGTAAAAAAAGCAAATATGATTCTAGGTTGTATCAACAGGTGTGTTGTAAGCAAAACTCGTGAAGTCATTCTGCCGCTCTACGCTGCACTAGTTAGGCCTCAGCTGGAGTACTGTGTCCAATTCTGGGCGCCACATTTCAAGAAAGACGTGGAGAAATTGGAAAGGGTACAGAGAAGAGCGACAAGAATGATTAAAGGTCTAGAGAACATGACCTATGAATCCAGGCTTCATGAACTGGGCTTGTTTAGTTTGGAAAAAAGAAGATTAAGGGGGGACATGATAGCGGTTTTCAAATATCTAAAAGGGTGTCACAAGGAGGAAGGAGAAAATTTGTTCCTCTTGGTTTCTGAGGACAGGACAAGGAGTAATGGGCTTAAAGTGCAGCAAGGGAGGTTTAGATTGGACATTAGGAAAAAATTCCTAACTGTCAGGGTGGTCAAATATTGGAATAAATTTCCAAGGGAGGTGGTGGAATCTCCCTCTCTGGAGATATTTAAGAACAGGTTAGATAGACATCTGTCAGGGATGGTGTAGACGGAGCTTGGTCCTGCCTTGAGGGCGGGGGGCTGGATTCGATGACCTCTCGAGGTCCCTTCCAGTCCTATGATTCTATGATTCTTACTAGTGGGATCTCACAAGGAAAGGCTCTTGGCCCTATGCATTTAACATTTTTATTAACAATTCCTTTACAGAGTGACTGGAAGAGTACATGCAATTGCAAGTAATTAATGATTTCCACTGAAATACCATGAGATTATAATCACTATAATTAGCCTCTCTGGTTTTCATTGTTATTGTTGTTAGATGTAAAATATTAACCTGTATTTTTATTCTCATGTCTCCTATCTTTGTCATCAGAGGTCCTTCTATTGCTGGAGTAGCAGTGGTTACTAGGTCTCATGGGGACACTACTTTTTATTATTGGAAAAATAAAATATAGACACTTTGAATGGCTGCAGTGATGAAAAGTCTCAGAGGGGTTGCCATGTTAGTCGTTAACTTAAAAAAAAATTTAAAAAACAAGTGGTCCTATAGCATCTTTTTTTGTTAGTCTCTAAACCCTGGTCTATCCCAGGGAGTTATTTTGAAATAACTCTCATTTCAGAGAGTCCACACTACCAAGCCCATTATTTCAAAATAAAGGGCTGGTTATTTCAAAATAATAACTCCTGCTTTCCACAAGGAATAACATTCATTTCAAAATAGTTATTTTGAAATAGTGTTAGTGTGCATGCTCTACTGCTGCTATTTTGAAATAACTACTCCTCAGAGTCATTCAAAGTAATTACTCCCCAGTGCATCCTGAGGCTCTAAGTTAAGGTAGCGTGTCCACACAGGGCCTGAGCCTTTTGTGTGCCCCGGGCCCTGCGAATGCGGCTCTGCCCGCGGGAGTGCAACGCATGCGTGGCCCTGCCCCCGGGCGCCCGGCACATGTGTGGCACCACCCCGGGTGCGTGGAGCTACCCCAGCCCAGCCCGGCAGCCCAGCGCAGCACCCCCTACAATGGGGCACCCTGGGTGGTAGCCCGGCTGGCCCGCACCTTGGGCTGGCTCTGTGTCCACATTAAGGGAGCCTGCCTTGGATTAATTTTGAGGTTTCCCTATAGCGTGGACATGTTATTTTGAAATAGTTATTTCTGGAGTTATTATTTCAAAATAATTTCCTAGAGTAGACATGCCCTAAGGTGCTATAAGGCTACTCATTGTTTTTCAAGTCTTTTTTGCAGTGATAAAAGAGTGTAGGTGTAAGGGAGGGTGGGGAGGAATGAAACTGACCATACTGCTCCTGCTCTAAACAAAAACTTGAACTCAAGCATCTTCGTTTAAAAAAATTAAATTTCTGAAATACTGTCAGAAATTGGCCTTCCTAATGTATAGTATTGAAAGGCCCAGTTAGAAAAGGGATTGCTCTGGCTGATTAAGATTACATGATAACTCCACTACACACATAGGCTGTGTCTACATCGGGCATGATTTTGCGCAAAAGAACTTGCTTTTGCGCAAAAACATGCTGCCTGTATACCCTGGTGGGGAGTTCTTGCACAAGAATACTGACGTTCTAATGTGTGAAATCAGTGCTTCTTGCACAAGAACTATGATGCTCCTGCTCAGGAATAAGCCCTCTTGCGCAACTGTTCTTGCGCAAGAGGCCAGTGTAGACAGGCAACATGAATTTCTTGCGCAAGAAAGCCCTTTGGTTAAAATGGCCATCAGAGCTTTCTTGCTCAAGACAGCGTTTACACTGGCACGGTTGCTTTTGTGCAAAAGCACATCTCTTGTGCAAAAGCACATGCCAGAGTAGACACTCTCTTGCGCAAAATCATGCCAATGTAGACACAGCCTATGTGTGTAGTGGAGTTATCATGTAATCTTAATCAGCCAGAGCAATCCCTTTAATGCAAAAGCTCTTAAGTTAAAATATTTGCGCAAAATCTTGCCAATGTAGACGTAGCCATAGAGTTTATGATAGATAGATAGATAGATAGATAGATAGATAGATAGATAGATAGATTTATTCAAGAAAAACAGAGTTATTTTTCATTTGTTTTAATATTTATTTACTACTTTTCATTGCTCAGATGCTGGAAAAATAACATTTCTGTCCCTCCCTTTGATGTGTGAACAGTGATTTTGCCCTCTTCCCCTTCCCCCTGTTTCTTTTAATGGAGCACAGACAGCATGGCTCTGCTACATTTACTTGTGTGTCCGTAACTATCACTGAGGATATTAGCATAGCTCCACCTGCTGGCGGCATATATGAGACCAATGTGGTAGCCTTTCTTTTAAAGGGGCCTCAACTGGATTTGATTAAAGCCAACCTAAATTTATGGCAATTATAAGCTCTCTTGGCCCTAAAAATCCTCCTGAACGGTGATTTTTTTTTTCTATTTTGATTACTCAATAGCAGCTGTAGGTTAAATTTATATGAGTCAAATTTATCCTTGGGATAAACCCATTGCCTTTAATTAATGTGGGAAAGACTGAATGAACCTATTTTCCAAAGTGCTCAGCATTGGCCTAGCTCATCTCCTGTCTAAGGGTATGTCTACACTAGCCCCCTAGTTCGAACTAGGGAGGCTAATGTAGGCATTCGAAGTTGCAAATGAAGCCTGAGATTTAAATATCCCGGGCTTTATTTGCATGTTCCTGTCTGGGTGCCATTTTTAAATCCCCTTAGCCCGAACTAACTGCCCATGGCTATACGCGGCAGTCAAACGTTAACTCGAACTAAGTCCTTAGTTCGAGTTAACTGTTACACCTCGTGGAATGAAGGACTTAGTTCGAGTTAACGTTTGACTGCCGCGTATAGCCATGGGCAGTTAGTTCGGGCTAAGGGGATTTAAAAATGGCACCCAGACAGGAACATGCAAATAAAGCCCGGGATATTTAAATCTCAGGCTTCATTTGCAACTTCGAATGCCTACATTAGCCTCCCTAGTTCGAACTAGGGGGCTAGTGTAGACATACCCTTAGACAGGAGATGAGCTACTAGCTGACAGCTTTGGAATGCTACATCTTTAGAATCCATAGGGCATTGCTTATCAGAGTCAAACAACTGTAAGTTAGGTCAGCTTGCTTTGGCCAAATGAATTGGTAGGCTCCATTTAGAGTTGTCTGTTTATCTCATAGGATGCATCTACACAGCAGGGCTTAACTCAAAATAAGCTACACAAATTGAGCTATGTCAATTGCGTAGCTTATTTCATAATTTGGAGTGTCTACACAGCACTTATTTCAAAACAGAGCACTTTTCCTCTGACTTCCCTTACTCCTCGTACAATGAGTGTTATAGGAGTCCTCCAGTTTGACAGTATTTCAACATTATTTCAAAATAACTGCCTGCTGCGTAGACGTGGATTAAGTTATTTTGAAATAATGTTAGCTATGTAGATATACCCATAGTGAAGAAATTGCATCAAAATATTACTGTATAACCTTATGAAACCTGAATAAAATCAGTGCTATTTAGAATTCATCAGGAAACATAAATATATTATGGTGTTCATGTTAGTACATGATTTATTTATGATATATGCATAGGGCAATACAGTAATGTATTACCTTTGCTTTGACCACTAAGGTGATCTCTGGATAAGTTCAGGCATTCAGAGATCTAATATTCTTACTGGTATTTTTACTCCAGCAGCTCTTGCTCGCTGAACTGTGTGTTCCAATGTTCCTGTCAAGGAATGCGTTTTTGCTCTTGAAATTATGTTGTCTCCTGAGATCATGTATTTGTTGTCTTTTGTCAGGCCAGCTGTAGTGGCTGTTTTACTGAGAGCTGAAATCTAAAGAGAACATTGCTAATGATAGTTGCAGTTAAAAAAAGTAACCACATGCAAGCCTACAAATTTCTCTGCTGGTAGCCACTTGCTAACATAATCAGTTTCCAAATACTGACAACTCGTGCTGCTTCACCAAATATAACATGTTGTTTTTTATGTTGGGTCAATGCAACTCTGTTGCTGGGATAAAGTCCGAGTTCCAGGTCACAAGACTCTGTTGCTTTAGTCAAAATGAATTCATGTGGCAAAATGTTCTTTTCATGTGCATTTCTCTTATTCAGACACATCATGCTGTTAGAGTTCCTAAGAAGATGTTTCTCTGTAGTCATTTTTTCATTTCTGAAAAACAAATGCATTTTGGGGCTACCAGTAACATTGGTGTAAGAAGAGGTTCTAACAACACATGAAGATGAAATGTCTGAAACTAACCACAAGGTGTTTACACCATTATTTACTCATCCATACTGATTGTAGAATGGCTGGAGAACTGCTTGACTGCTGCATGTCTCTGATAGCCACAATTTACCATTGTTCTTAAGGGATATTCTCTGAGTCTGATCCAATTCTCACAGAATGCAATGGGAGCCTTTCCATTGACTGTACCATGCAGGAGGTTGGCTCTGTGGTAGACGGGTTCTTTTTCAGCAGCACCCTTTCTCAACTGATAAAACATGAGAAGCTGGTGAGAGCCAACATGCCACTTCTGGGTATCTGTTGCGATTGCTCGCTTGGTAAAATTTAGGTTTTGGTAGCTGCAGTGGCTGGAAAATCCTACTGAGACAATGGCTGATGAATTTCCACTATGTTGATGGATGCCAGAACAGAAACCTGGGTAGACAGACCATCCACTAACACTTGTAATTACACATATCATTTAATGGTCCGGCTCTTAAAGGGATGCTGTCAGGCTAAAATCCTGGCCCAAATGAAGTCTGTGACAATGAGGCCAGAATTTCACCCCATGTGTTTAAAACAATGTTCTTTACTTGTGCTATTCATGTCAGATTATTAGAAACAGGGAGCTTTCAAGATCTCCTATCTCTTTGGTATTTCACTTAGTTTAGTGAATAAAAATGATTGGTTTCCCTTTTCTTTTTAGTCAGATTCACTTTGTGGCTCTCCTGTACTAGCTCAAGGCCAAACTCTGTAAGGGCTTATCTACACTATGGAGAAGATTGACACTGCTGCAGTCAATCTTCCGGGGTTCGAATTAGTGGTTCTAGTGAAGACCTGCTAATTCAAACTGAGAAGGCACTTCTGTCAGCACCAGTAGTCCTGCTCCTCACAAGGAGTATGGGATGTCAATGCTCCTGTTGACCTTCTGTTGTGTGGATGGTGCCAAAACGTGATTTAAGATACTTCAACTCCAGCTACATAATTAATGCAGCTGGAGCTGCGTGTCTTAAATTGACTTTCCCCTTTAGTGTGGATCCAGCCTAAGGGTTTGTGTGTGTTTAAATCCAAATAAAAATAGGTTTTAATTTAATAAAACATCTTGGAGACATGGGACTTTTCTGATAATATAATGGAGTCCTAACTCTATGACCTGCTTTGTGGGCCCTTGCATGTTAGGGGCAGCCCGTCAACTCACTGTCAGATTGATGCTGATTCTGATCTTCAACGCCCACAGTGGGATCCAGCTACTTCAATGACTGCATTACTCTCCACCATCTCTTAAGACAGGTCTCTCTGGGACATCACAGTTTATGTCCATGAAATCTGGAGATAAAAAATACTCCATTGAAAGGGTTTGGCTGTGAAACAAACTTCCAGAGATTAATGAAGGGTCTGGCCTCCCATGGGGCATGCAGCAAGATCACCCCCTTTTGATAAAACCAGAATGACTTAGAGAAACAAAATATAAAACACATAAAACCTTCTAGGCCCAAACCGAAGCCTTTTATAACCAGAGATGGCGCCAGGAATTTCACTTGGGGACCCTTTATGCAAAATTTGTTCACCTGAACAGGTGATGCGAGGTTATGGATGGGCAGGTGAGGAAGTGGACTTCCAAGCACCGCTACCTGTGGAAGAATTTGTGACTCAGGTCTGGGGGAAGCTGCAGAGATCTGTGGAAGTTAGATGAAGATCAAGGTCTACTCATGAAAATTACTTCCCCCTCAGTCTTCTGCTACACGGCCTTTTACCAAACATACAATCTGGGCCTGAATTTACCTGCTCTCAAGGTCAATGGAAGAGGAGAGTATGATGTTACTGCATGTAATACAGTAATGAAGGAAAACATCTATTTGCATAAGAGCAGCACTTAATTTACATGGTGGTGGTGGTTGGATTTTTTTTTTGTTTTTTGTTTTTTGCTAACTTCAATTATAAAGAACTCAAACAAATATTCAAGTTTTGCTTTAGAATCACCCAGGACAAGAGTATGGTGAATACACTGGTATTGGTCTTCAGGAAAACCAATGTGACTCATATGCTTTTCATAACATGCACTGCAGAGCTGGAAAGTTTGTAGCATTACTCTGAAAATGTGGTGAGAGACTTTAAGATCCATGAAGCAGATTATCATTTCTTCTTGGAGCTACTGTGTCTGTATAACACCTAGCACAATGGAGCTCCGATTGGTACTGTAATAAAAACATTAAAATGTATTCCTAATTTAAATGATTTAATACCCACTCTCTCCAGCATCAGCAGTCCTTTTGTGATGCTGCCACCTTCACAGTCTACCCTAATTTTTAAGCAACGAGATTTATATACAACACAATTGGAAGGGTTCCAGGAACAATTGTAACTCCTTTGATGTGATATCAGCTGTGGAAGCTCACTGGTCATTTGGAAGTTTATTGGTGCAACAGCATTGGCAAGCAGCCCTGGTACAACTATAGCTGGCCGCTGGAGAAATGATTCACAATCAGATTGAACCTACTTTTGAAATGTGATACAGAAATAATGGGATTGTTTGCAGGTTGAACTCTAAACACAGAGCTTATTTTTTATCATAAACTCTTTCCAGGCTGGTCACTGTGTCAATTCTGAACCAGTTGCATTCCAGGATGCACAAACCTTCCACACACCGACATGTTATAAGGCAAACATGCACACATGGGGTTAAAGAAGAGCATTACTCTACAAATGGGAAGGGGATGAAACTGGAGATCTTAAAGCTGGGAGGCTGACAAAAGCCAGGGTTCTACAGGAAAAGGAATTCAGGGAAGGAAGACAACTATCACCCCTTTTAAAGACATTTTAATGTAAGCAGTGGAGCAAATGGGAGTCAGTGCAGAGGGCTGCACTCCAGTCCTGTGTGGCAGCGACAATGCCTTGGCATGCTGTGTTCAAACTCAGTTTGCCTCACACTCAAGCATGATTCAAGAGCAATGTAGGAAGAGTCAGAAATCCACTTCTGACTGGGAGAAAGCAATTTGTATTGCGTAGTTTATGAGAGCCAATAGTCACTGATTTGCAGGCAGGTAGAATGACAGCTCAGCAAGCACGCAAGCAAAAACCACAACAGCAACCCCAAAGGAAGGGCTCTTTAAAACCCTAAATCAAGGCAAGATCGCATAAGCAAAACAAACACTTCCTGGGGCGGGGGATCATCCAGCTCCTTAGGATCCCATTAGAGCCCCTAGTGTCTGCTCTCTCTTCCGTGGCCCTGCCTTTGACTATGCCTCTGCCAGGGCAGGAAAAAAGGGCAGCAGGAGCTGATGCTGTGGAGCAGATAATGCCCCTGAACTCTGCCCCAGTTACTGTCCCAGACATCTTTAATTAGTAATCCTGGAGAGATCATTCTGAGGGTTGAAAAGATATTGTTTTGATCTGATAGCAGCCTGAGACAGACACAACAGGGAAGGCAAAGAAATCACAAGGATTGGCATTTATGATATTAAAGTATAAATAACTTGAGGCAAGTGAGCTTGAAGGCCTACTTTGATAGAGATGCCTTTGTGTGTTACTATTTAATTGAAAGAGCTTTTCAAAGAGACTCAGCAGTTCTCACCAGGGACTGGCAGGGAAATGAAGAGACAGAGCAAGAAATGGATTTCAGGGCAGCTCGGCTAGGTAAAGCACTGCCCTAGCTGGAATGGGCTATATCTCAACCTGTGTATCTCTATGCCCGGGGATTCTCAAACTTCCTTGCGTCGCAGTCCCTAACTAAAATTACTACATGGCCCCAGGGAGAGGGAGCCAAAGACTGAGCCTGCCTGAGCCCAGTACCAAGTTAGGGGGGCTGTAATCTGAGCACACCATCCATTGCGGAAGCTCTCAAGCTTTAGCTTCGGTCCCAAGTGGTGGGGCGTAGGCTTGGGCTTGGGCCATGGGTCCTACAAAATCTAACACCTGCTCTAGCAACCCCATTAAAATGGGTCAGAACTAAAGCTCCTTCTAATTTTTTCCCTCCGTGGATTTTTTCATTCCATGTGCAGAATAATTTTTGTATGTGCACTAAGATGTGCACCACCGGTAAAAAACCTAGATGTGGGTGTTGGACAGCATTTGAATCTCTCCTGAGCAGCAGCACAAGTGCACAACTTACAGGGAACACTGGTAACAACCCACAGATTGAGAACTGCTGCTCTATGCTAACCTCAGCACTTCCTGCTGCTGTGTGCCAGCTGATCAATAAATCCTACGCTGTATTGAAAGGCTGCCAGGAGTCACTGTAAATAGCTGCTGAGGAGCATTGAGCCATGAAGAACATAGAAGTCTCTGAGCAAGACTCTAACACAGTTGGGCTCAATGGGCAGTGCTCATGGCATAAAATAGGAAGGCTGGAGCCCAGGGGCTGTCTCAGAGGTGCTGAGGCTGTGTGGCTTATCCTTAAAGAGAAATGGCACCCCTTGGGGGGAGGGGAGATGTCTGATGCACTGAAGGAGTTCCTCCAAGGGACTGTTTAAAAGCCGGGGCATAGCACAGATCCTGAGGATCCATGACACATGTATACAGAACACAATACATTTTTTGCACTTACCCAATAGCAAACTATAAGGTTAATAACTCAGTTCCATAGGATCCCAAAAGTCCAAGCCCTTAGAACCAATATATAACTCCTTTAGCTCTGTTTAAGCAGCAGGCACTTAACCTTGCAAGGGGCCAGCACAGCAGGTGTGGGCAATAATTTTTGATAGGGGGACCACTCCAAGATTTTGGTAAGTGGTCAAGGTCTGCACTTTTCCAGGGGGTGCAAGGTCAGGGATGGAGGATGGGTGCAGAAGGGAGCTCAGAGTAGGGGACTGGGATGCAGGAAGGAGTGTTGGGGCTGAGAGGGAGTTTGGGTGAAGGAGGGGTGTGTGTGACCCGGGGCAGGGGATTAGGGTGCAGGGTCCAGGAGGGGGTATGGGTGCAGGAGAGGATTCTAGCTTGGAGGAAGGGTGTAGGAGGCAGTACAGGGTCTGGAAGGGAGTTGATATGCGGGAGGTGCTTACCTAAGCAGCTCTGGCCAACAGCCCAGTGGGATCCTTAGGCAAACTTCCCTGCATGCCAGCAGCTCCAGGCCACTGAAAGCAACAGGCTGTTCTATATGGCTTGCTACTTGGAGTAGGGGGAGGGCTTCGCATGCTGCCCCCACCCCCAGCACAACCTTCCAGCTCCTATTGGCTGGAAAATGGTGAATGGGAGCTGAGAGATTGTGCTGGAGGTGGGGTCAGTGCACAAAGTTTCTTCTCCCAGCCCATAGTGCAGAGGACCACAGAGAGCAGTCAGTTCCTTTGAGCTGCACGGAGTGCTCACTGCCGCAGGGGCAAGCCACAAGCCAGATTAAAAGGATTGGTGGGCCAGATCTGGCCCGTAGGTTGGATCTTGTCTGCCCCTGCACTAGAGGGATACATGATCACATGCACTCAGCTTGTGTTTTAAACACGTTCACAAAAGTTTTCTGTTTTAAAAGACACTGACAAGTTAAAAATCTTATTTTAAGAAACAAAAAAGAACTAAATCAACCTCCCATGTTACATTTTAGCCTCCGGTCTATTGATGCAGAACTGCCACTTTTGCTTACAATCAGTTTGCTTTATGGCTCTCATCCATAGTCCAAGGCTGAAATGTTTTGGCTGCACACACAGTAGGGGAATGCTTGAATCCAAACATAAATCTGTTTTCACTGATCTTTGTTTGTTTGTACTCATTTCCTGGAAAATATTTCTGGTAATATTATGTATCCTAAATCTTTTGCCTAACAAAACATGAGTTTTTGCCTGTGTTTAATGATCTCTCATAAAGATATGGAAAATAATGTTATATCCTAAGGATGCCCACTGTTGTCTGTATTGATCATGAATGCAAGTTCTTTTCACTTACAAAATTTAGCACCACATGGCAATCTTTCACTTAAGATTGGGCTAGTTAGATCCTGCTCCTGCAAAGGGATCATCAGTCCAATTTAAACCATTGGGACTTTGAGCCAATAGGCCTCTGTAAATGTCCATGTTAGGGGATCCCTTAAAAATACTAAGACTGCAGTCCCCAGTCTGGTAAATGGCTCCATGAGGGTGGGCCATGTTATCTTGGGAACTGTACCTTTAAGTGCTTTAGCTTGTTTAGGAAGTGTGTGGGATCAGTGCTGCAGAACCCCATCCTCAGTTATAGAGAGACAACTAGAACTGCATCATGGACTCCAGAAGATCTTTCAGGCTCCTTGAGCTCCGACTGACTGCTGAACATCACATAGTACCAGGAATAAAGAGAAATTACAGAAAATAACCCAGGGGTGTGGCTGGAAGGGCTCACTTGTGTGGGCTCTGACTTCAGGTGGGTGGGCAAGAATAAGGGGGGAGCAGGACAGAAGGAATGAGGGATAAGCCCCAGCTCCCCAACCTTGCTGGCTAGCTGGAGGTCCTGGTTGGCTGGCGGGAGGAGGAGGAGGGGGAAGCCTGGATATAAAGTGGGTGGGCCACAGCCCACTCAGGCCCACACATAGCTATGCCCCTGAAATAACTCGTGTGGAATGATGGAACTACCGTATTTTCCGGCGTATAAGACGACTTTTGATGTTAAAAAACATCCCCATAAAATCGGGGGTTGTCTTATACGCTGGATATGCGGCTTTGCAAAGCCTGGGGGAAGCCGGCGGCGGGGCAGCTCAGGCGTGCCTGGGATGCCCCGCCGCCGGCTTCCCCCGAGGCTTTGCAAAACCGCATACCCGGCATATAAGATGACCCCGATTTTGGGGGGGATGTTTTTTAACATCAAAAGTCGTCTTATACGCCGGAAAATACGGTAGTTCCATCATTCCACACGAGTTATTTCAGGGGCATAGCTATGTGTGGGCCTGAGTGGGCTGTGGCCCACCCACTTTATATCCAGGCTTCCCCCTCCTCCTCCTCCCGCCAGCCAACCAGGACCTCCAGCTAGCCAGCAAGGTTGGGGAGCTGGGGCTTATCCCTCATTCCTTCTGTCCTGCTCCCCCCTTATTCTTGCCCACCCACCTGAAGTCAGAGCCCACACAAGTGAGCCCTTCCAGCCACACCCCTGGGTTATTTTCTGTAATTTCTCTTTATTCCTGGTACTATGTGATGTTCAGCAGTCAGTCGGAGCACTACATCAGAATTACAAACTCTGGGACTAGGAAAGACAACAGGAAGACAGTTAAATCGTGCTTCGCTCTGTCTCTGCAAGCAATGGATGACAGTGAAAAGGAAGCCGATCAGGTGACCTTATCTCTGACAGAGCAAGTTCTGATGTGCTTGATGTGTTTAAGATTTTCTGGATAGCTCAGGCACAAGAGGCTCACTATGAAAACGTGAGGAGTACTAAACTTCAAGCAAAAATGAAACCTTTTATTGCAAGCTATACTTTTACTAGGGGTATTTAAAGAAACTATAAATTTTGTGACTGATCTAATGCTAATGACTATTGGGAAGCCCAGAAATAACCCTTGACAAAGCAATTAGAATTTGCCAAGCAATGGAAGACACCTAGTCCAGGATGAAGCTTATGGCAGGTGCACAGTGCTCTGATACTAGAGACATGATTAAGAATCCAAACACCACAAGAAAAGAGACCTGAGGCATAAAGACTTGTGGCTCTCCAAGGTCATGTCTGCAGTAGTGAACTTACAGCATTTCAGCTCTACTAATCCAGTGTACCATTGTGAAATTGCTCATGTTGCTGCTCTGTGCTGATAGGAGAGAGCTCTCCCATATAGTAAAGCCACCTGAAGAAGCAGCAGTAGCTACGTTGGCAGGAGAAGCTTTTCTTCACACTCTTGAGCATTGTAAGTTTTGCTAACTAAGTGGTAGTACAGACATGGCTAAAGTCAAGCAAGAACAGCACAGAGAGCATATGAGAAAAGATGAAAGAACTGCAGTAGATTGTCACTTTACAAGACTTTGCAGAGCTGGCACAGCATGGACAAAGAGGATGATGATGGCAGCACAAGTTCAGATTATTATTTACAAGGGAAATGGACAGACAACATTGCAGCAGATGACTGAGCTAGCACATTGAAAGTAAGTGCAACATTTATTGATTTTAAGTTGGACACGTGCCCAAACCAATGGGGTAACAGAAACACTGATATTGACACTGAAAGAAAAGTCACTGATAGTGAAAGGTAAACAGGTAAAACTCAGGGCTTACAGGAGTGAGCCAATTCCCACTAAAGGAATGTGTGAATTGGATGGAGGTATAAATAATAAATTGGAAGAAAAACAACTAGTATTAGTGAAAAGAATATCCGGTATAAGGTTAAAAGCGTGTCAAGTCCTTGTTCTAATCATGTGCATTCATTAGTGTGTCAAGGGACCAAACAATTGAGAAAGAGCTTGAAGACATTTTCAGGTGGATAAGACAGCTCTCAGCAGAGACAAAACAGATCTGAGGCCTAATATACACTACCGTGGGCCATCAATCTAAGTTACACAACTTAATCTACATGAAATCAACATACTTAGGTCCACTTACTGAGGTATCTTCACTGTGATAAGTCGAGAGCTGATGCTTTCCCGTCAACTCCTCTAATTCTTCTTATTCTGGTGGCAAACTGGAATCAATGGGAGAGCTTTCTGCAGCTGACTTATTGCATCTATACTAGACATAATAAATCGATCACCACTAGATCAATTGCAGACTGTCAATCCAGTGGGTAGTGAAGATATGCCCTAAAAGAGCCCAACTCACCCGCCATTCACTCCTGTAAGAAAATTCCTATAATCTTAATCCATTTATTCATGTCTAAATATCAGTGTCTGAAATTTTTGAAGCCTTCATGATCCATTACTAATTTTGAACATTCAGTAGTGGTCTGAAGCAAACCATCAATCTCCTCATTGATCATCTTCTATTATGAAAACTCTCCAGCATTCCTTCAATATTAACTTTGTCATGGTTATTTCCATCTCTATGCTTAGTGTCACTAAAGTACATAAGTTTGCAGCTGATAACTTCTGACATCAGAGTCTGCCTTCCTCAATAATATTTCTAACAAACATTCTTTTTTTCTGTCCAGGAAATTTCAAAAGCTTCAGTTTTCTTCTTGTCAGCAGCATTCACTTTCCACAATTCACATCCATAAAATGCCGTGGAAAAAATTAGGCTTTTCACAAGTTGCATGTTCATGCATTTTGAGATGTTTCATTTTTCCTCACTTTCCTAAGGGAGGCCCTAACTGAGCCAGCCATTCCTAAAAAAGAGGATAAAAAAGAGATGCAAAGCAATGCCACCTCATTACGCTGGGAATCACAGAACCAATAGAGTGTGCATACTCCTTGGTCATTGAAAAAAATGGTTACAAAAGAATTAGTCAAATATGTAAAAAGGGAACATTTCCAGGGGAGAAATTTGGGAGGAGATGGTTAATACCAAATATTTTTTATATACTAGATACCTCAGCAGGGTTCTGGGTGGCACTCTTAAAAAAAGAGTGCCCACATCTGTGCATGCTAACACTCCTTGTTTTCACAACCCATAAAACACAACAAATTTCTGATAGTAGGGAAGATACGAAAGTCTGCACAGCTGCTGTTTTGTTCTGGAGGGAAAAAAACAATGAAGCACCTGACCTGACGGTCCAGGCAGAAGAGCAATAGCTGCTGGGCTACAATTAAACAAAAATGTAAATTCAGTTGAACAGAAATAACATGTGGGTGAGAAGCTAACACAGTGGGTACGTCTAGACTACAGGCTTCTGTCGACAAAGAGCGTCTAGACTACATTGAGTTCTGTCGACAAAGCAAGCTGCTTTGTCGACATGGTAGTGTAGACGCAAAGGACAGTTTACATGCAATAACACCTTCTGTCGACAGAAGGTGTTATGCCTCGTAAAATGAGGTTTACCAGCGTCGACAAAATTGCTGAGTTCTGTCGACGTTATGTCGACAGAACTCAGCGGTAGTGTGGACGCAGGTATAGTTTTGTCGACAAAAGTCCACTTTTGTCGACAAAACCCTGTAGTCTAGACACACCCAGTATGGTGTAAAGGTGAGGAATGATAAGGTTAAAGCTATCAGCAACATACCTGCCCCAATAGACAAGGAAGAGGTACAAAGATTCCTTGGCA